AACCGCTTAAGGCGGTTCCATAACTTTAGGAACCAGAACCGGAACTGCTTAAGGCAGTTCCGAGGCGGTTCCGGTTCCGATGCTCATCCCTATAAAATACCTATACTTGTTATATGTGGTAAATTTGAACTTGCTAATATGTGAATTGTTAGAAAAGCCTGCTAGTGGATAAGCTAAGGTTCTTTTAGGAAATGTTGGATATAGTACTGCCTGATTTATGTGATGTCTTATGGTATAGGAAATTGCTTGTTATATGTTATTTGATTGTGTGATTTCTAAGTGTATGTTATTTAGTTGTATATGGTCAAGATGAACTAGCCTTAGAATGATTGACTTATCCTTATTTTATGTTCCTATTTTGGCTATGCACTTATGGTAGAGTCAATTATTCGACAGTCTATATGACCTCGTATTGTGTATAAGAAGCATACACAAAGCAACTAGCAGTGCGAGAAAGAGGACAATCCTAGGAAGAGTGCCTAGGAAGTTAGTTGTTGCTCTTATGGACCAGGTGGGTGTCAGTACACCTAGGAGTGGCTAGTGCAGGACATTGGGATGAATTTTAAATCAACATGAATAGGTGTAGAATGTAGTATGGGCCCATAAAACTGAAAGCATAGGATCCGTATGAGATTCAGGAGGAACCTCGAGGCTACTAAGTAACTAATAGGTGGAGTCCTAGTGTGTTGAACATTATGGTTGATGTTTGACCTTTCCTTTGTATAATTTCACTATGGTAGCCATCGGAGGATCAGGAACATGTGTTGGTGGAATTGTGAGGGCAGGTCTGAGTGATGAGGAGATTTGCGGGATCATTGTTGCCGAAGTGGTCATGACGATCAAGGAGGCGATTCTAGAGTTGTTGGGGGCGGTTAAGACCACATTGGTCGAGGAGTTTGACTGATGCTATGTCACCGTCATGCAGTCAGCTATTGCCGTAGCCATAATAGTTGTCATCATTGCATGGTTTTAGAGAGACAGGGTGATTCATAATAGCCGTCATCGTTGGGGGTGGTATTCATGGGTCTTTTGCCTGGTTGAAGTGCTTCTTCGTTAACAATGGGTCTTACGTTGACTAATTATGTACATGTGAGAAAAAGACTAGAAATATATCTGTTAAAAGTATTAGAAAATAATAATGTTAATTGTCAGGATCCTAAAAGATCTTCGAGATTTGGGATCCTTAATAAGGTTGAAGATCTTGGCACTAATAATTATTACTTTGCATTATGAATAAATTTTCGAAACCCTCTGATAAAAAAAAAAAAACAAATATAATCGTTAGTATTTTAATCTACTACCTAGTACCTAGAATACTTGATCAAAAGTAAAGTATACTTATTGTAAGTTTCCTCTACATAGTGATAAGCTTGAAGTAGGTTGCATCATCTTACATATTGTAATTCCTCTTCCTTGCAAGAAAATGATCAATTGAAGCTATAGTATGAGAAAGAGGTTTCTTGGAAGATGGCTTCTATAGTACCGTAGACGTGGTTTTTCAAATACATAGTCATAATTACTCTCTTTATGGCAGTAAGACGTTTCAATAGGAGATTTGGGACATCGAATGGCTAAAATGCCCATCACATGAAGACCATTAGCGGAGCCATCTAGAGGAGGGACTAAATGTGGTATGCAAACCTACAATAGTGACATTTTTAAAAAATCCAAAAGATTATGACTAAAAACACAAAATCATGCCAACCACATAGATCATATCTGCAATTTAGTCTAACCCGATACTTTGGTTATCATTTATGACTCCAACTATTTTTTGTTACAAATATTTATGGAGATTATTAATCAGCTGTAAATAATATTATTGAAATATAATAAAATCAGCTATTAATAGTGATAATTGGTTATTACTTATGATCCCAACTATTATTTGTTATTATTTAACGGTATTCATAAAAAGGGAAACATTATTGGACTTTATAATATTATTGAAATATTAATGACAGAAGTATTACTGGACTTTATACTATTATTGAAATATGAATGAGTTTTATAATATATTATGTTTTAAAATTAATAATTTAAAATAAACACTTTTGAAACGGCAGAAATTTGTTATTATAATACAATTCATAGAACGTGAATGTAGCTTACCCTTGCACTTCTAACAAATATATTTGTTTGATACATCTTTTTGTTTGATTAAAAATTTAAAATAAAATTAGATATAAATATATAATATTTAATGTTAACAAAAATAAAAAAGTAAATTAAGTTAAATATATTTATATTATTGTGAATAATAATAATAATAATAATAATGATAATAATAATAATAATAATAATAATAATAATAATAATAATAATAATAATAATAATAGGTTGGAAAGTTAAGTAATAATAAAATAATGGTAATAATAAGAATAAAAAAAAACATTAATAATTGTATTTCATATGTATGGATGGCCCTTGAGATGATGTTGGGGTTATACTTAGGTTGTGTTTGGTAGAGGGAAATCACCGGAGAGAACGGAATCGAATCCCTTTCTCTTGTTTGTTTAAGGCCACGACCAGAGAAATGAGGAAAAATATTAATTTTCTTTCCACCCATTTAATTCTCTATATTATATGAAGAAATTGTGAGAAATAAAAAATAGAGGGACACGGAGAAATGAAAAAAGAAGGCGGAGAAATGAAAAAAAAAAAAAAAGAAAAAAAAGGAGGGTTTTTTCCCTGTCTCATATTTCACCGTTTATCTGGTTACATCTCTCTTTGACGATTTTAGTTACTTTCTTCTCCAATCGACGCAATCACTTTGGTTGCTTCTTTGATATTTATTCTCCGATTAAAAGGTAATATCTTCCCACCTGTCAGCTCCGACATGGTTTATAAGGGGAAAAAACTTACCAAAGTGATGATACTTGGGACTTGTTATACATATTCAACTTTATTATCACTTTTAATCACGCTCCCACCTCCAATGGAAATCATAACAACCCAATTGGCAAAATTCTTTCAATTTTGTATCGACAATATAAGTTTTTATTGCAATACTATTGGTGTAGATGAATCATACAAATTGTTTGTTAAAATGCTCGATAGAAACTCTGTTTCATGGAACACTTATATTGGTGTAGATGAATCATACAAATTGTTTGTTAAACCGGTGCTTTGATTTGTGGTGGGTCAAAAGAATGCTTTTCAATTTAGATGAAGCACTCAAGATTACTGTTCGTTCATCTTAAAACTAGATGTGTCAAATCATTGCTTTAGGTTCTTTTTCATGAATGGAAAATTAAAATAGTTGATTTTGTTTATTAATGGTTTAATGGTCTATAATGAACGTGTTTAGCTTAGAGATGAGAAGGTGTAGAGGTAGTATGCCATAAAGTTTGTGATTACTAGTCTATCACTTGAATTATGTGATTCTTTCTAATTCATTTTATTATAAAACAATAATGTGAGAAGAAAAATAAATTTGATGACAATGAAGTTTGTGGTTTATATAGTTGTTTCAGATAATTTATCCATTAGCATATAACAAAAATGTAACTTAAATTGGTGAACTAACAATTTAACATTTTCTTTGAACGTCACCCTAAATTGTAATGTTGTTTGTTTTTGAACAATTAATTCATTTGCTAATTTAAACCTATAAATAAAGTGCAATACTGATAAAAAAAATGAAGAAATATACAATATTTAATATGATAAATTTATATGTAAAACATAATAATATTTTTGTAAATGAAAGGTGTTTAAAAAGGATAAAAATTGTAAAAAAAAAATTTTTATTTCATTTCTTGCTTCAACCAATCAAGTGAATCAGTTCTAAGTAGATATCTCGTGAATTCTCTGTTGTACCAAGCAATGAAATTAATTCTTTTTCTCTGGTTTAATTTTTTTTTTTTTGCATTACCGTTCTTTGCTTCAATTCCATTATTTCTCAGTACCAAACATACCCTTAAGAGTGAGAGAATATACACTAAGATCATTTAAAAACAAACAAATTTACATACTAATTGTTTAAAACTTTAAAATTAAACATTACCATTTCGAAAGGCATATTCACAAAAATATCTGAAACCTTGAACTTTAAAATATAACATTTTTTTTTGTATCAAATGATCACTATGTATGAAATTGAGATATTACATATTTACTTCATATTAAATTTATGTCATATTAAAATATATTTTATGGCAAAACAATCTTAGATTTCAACAAAATAAATATATTCTGATTTTGAAAAACATGAAATCTTATAAAAATATCCAAAATTTCGTAAAATTTTCTTTAATTGAAATATTAAAAAAAAAAAAAAACAAAGTAATGTTAAGCCATAAGTTTTTTCGAGCCGTGGTAAACTACGTTGTTTTTTGAGATATGATTTAAGACGATAATTTTGTATATAATTAATAATTTTATATATATTTTCTACTGTTATTTATTTTTATATACATATATCAATTGAAAAGATATTTTATTAAAGCTTGACGCCAATTTTTTTTGGAGCCATAACACGTTATGACGAACTTTTTAGAACTTTGTTTTAGTCGACAAATAATGATATTATATATTTTAAAATGAACTTAATATAGAATTTTTAAATAACATATGATACAGATTTAAAGAAAATACATACTAGATATCAATGAAATCCGGAAAAAACATGATAATTGTGATTATTATAAATATTAAAAAATTAAGTTATTTCTTTACATATCTCAAAACTATATGGTCGTTTTTATAAATACCTTTTAGTATGGAATCTATCAATTTGTCTGTTAGAAATGTCTTAACATAATTATAACTTGTAGTCTACAAACTTTCTTGTTTTATTTGAAAATATCTTAGGTATTTAAATTTCGTTTTAAAAGTCTAAAATGTTTATATCAAATATTGCAGTTTTTTTCGAATTAGAATATCAATCTCCTTCTATCCTTTTTTTGGACTATTTGTTTCGCAACAAAAGCCGACAAAATAGATAAACTTTTCAAACTGATACTGCGAAATCGGGCCGATAGCAGTACAAAGCACTTTCCAATCAATCAATTAATAGGGCCCTCAATCCTTCAATAATTATCTTCTTTTTGCTTTAGATTCGCCATAGCCCAAATCCCAATTGACGCCATCCACTTCCCACTCTTTTACCGTCACAGATGACAATATCAAAAGCTGAGTAGGTAGGTGATAGTTGGTTAGAAGAAACAATCTGTAAATCGTTGCATTTCAAGTCATAGAAGTAATGGGTGCTTGCGTTTCATCACTACACAAACCTTCTGCAATGAAGGTACGCTTATCATTTGGGTGTAATCGTAAACCAGACAAACACCTCGTGATCCCTCCTTCCCCTGTTAAAGAAAGTCCTCAGATAATCAGTGGCAATGTTGCTGTTAAACCTCAGTGGCCTCCTCTTCATTCCACCGCTAAGCCTCGCGATTTTGGTATCGATTTTGTTCCTATAGTCTAGATTATTACATTATTATTTTTATTTTTAGGGTTCCCATTTTGTTTACTTTTAATCTAGTTCTAAAGTTAATTGTACATGGGTCGTTAATTTTCGTTTAATTCGTAGCTTCAAACTTTTAACTAGTGGGTTTTCTGGTTTTGGTTGGCCGGTGTTGAATTGTTGATTTCATTGGTCATTTCTATGGCTTCTTTGTTTGATTACCTTCTGACTTTCTATTGATTTGTTTTCTCATATCTGAATTCTTACATGATTTTAGCCGATTTAAAATTTGTTTAACTTGATGATTATTAGGCATCGTTTCGTGTTTTTCAATAATGTTAGAAAAGGTTTGTTCTCGACTGTTCAAAAGACCCTTTGCTCGGCTTTTTGATATGTGTTCTGTTTCACGTTGCAGGTAGTAAAGAGGAGACGTTTTATGATTCGCAACCGTGGTTGGAATCCGACTGTGAAGATGATTTTATGAGTGTCAATGGAGGTAAAATATCTGTTGTCATATAGTTGTGATTTAGATTTAGGATTTTAGGCCAAAATGACATTTGTGTTAACACGAATAACAAGTTGTAATTGTGTTGACGTGACAAGATAAAACAAGTTGTCTGGAACTCGATGATCATATTCATATATCATCGATCGAAATTAGACTTAGATAGTTTGATCAAGTCCAGTTGTGTAACAAACCTAATGTTACAATTTCAATTTGGTTGTTGAACTAAGTTCCTATTTTGACAGAATTTACACCATCAAGAGGCAATACTCCGGTGCACCATAACTTCACCACCGGAGCACCGCCACCGAAGGGCGTAGCACCTTCCATTGGTGACCATGAATCTTGTATTACCCCAAAGAAGAAAAAGAGACTTTCTGAGCTTTTCGAAGAAGGCTTAATAGAGAACCATGAAGTTGATGAGAAAGAAGGCAATGAAAAGATGGCGGCAGTAAATGGTGGAGGGTTAAAGGCGAGGAGAGAGAGGTGGGTGGAGGCTGTGCAGGTGAACAGCTGCTTACCTAGCTTGCTTTCCAGTTGTAGGCCCGTAACTACTACTGCTGCTACTCAAGAAGAAGCACAAGTAAGAAGAAAATGAGCCCTTTTATTGGATCATTCCGGTGACTCCAATTTCGTTGAATGTATAGTTATAAATTTTCTCAATATAAATATGCTTATGTGAGTGGGATGTTACAGATGAATTATGTTGACCATCAGGTCTTAAATGGGATGTTGTGGGATCTAGGAAAGTAAAAACTGGATTTTTTATTTTATTTTATTTACATCAAACACTTTCAAAAAATTCCTTTTCGCTCCTTAAATTTAAAATCTTTACTGTTATTTTTTTAAACAAATGACATATTTTTATACCTTTGTATCGGAATATACTTTACTTTTGGCATTATGTATTTTCTTTTTTTATTTTTGTTAGATTTTAGTAAAAAACTTTGAGATTTTTTTTTTTTTTTGAGATTTTTTACTTTTTTGTTAGATTTTATCAAAAAAAACATTTTCTTGAAATTTCGGATTTTTATTTGGATTGTGGACATGTTATTGAAAATTTCAAATACTTTGTCCGCAAGGTTTAGTCCGAAATCCGAACTTTTTTTTTTTATTAGTTAAGAAATGTATTTTTTATGTAAAAGGCCCTTTGGACTTGTCAAATATCTTATATATATTTGCCAAACATTTCGTTATGTGTTTTCTAATGTATTTCAGACAAATGATTATTGATTTGTTTCTATCCACCAATTTGGTGAAGAACACTTCACACACGTTCAAAAGTACACCAATATGTACGCATCCTATCAAATGTACTTGCTAATTGTTAGGCTAAGGCTGAACGGAGTGGGAGATGCTAGTTCATTCACTATGCTCACTAACAGAAGGAGAACATCTCCCCCTAGCGCTTGCCAGGGGGCTCGCTATGCTGCACTCGTGACCTTCTTGGCGAGATGAGAGAGAAGGAAAAGGGACAAACTGATTGGTGCTCAATGGTTTGACAGGATTGCGACCATTTGCAAAATAAAAACGGGTCACGACGATGATGAGAATCATTTTAGTCGGTTCAAGGCTGAAACAATCACCACCATAATGTTTTTGACAACTTACATTCATCAATGGGCTCATCTTCGACACATACTCAAACCAATTCCTTAGCTCCTATTAAACCACCCAACTGGTATTTCAATTTTGTCACAACTGCAAAAGAAGTTTTAACATGTTGTTTCCTTTTATTGGTAACCAATTTTTAATTCATTGTATCTGTATAAAGATCACAGAGATATCTTGGAGAATTACAATTCAGATTCGGTTATTAATGATATCAATCAAAATGAATTTACAATGTCATGGAGAGAGTTATGCATCAAATGGTCTCTGAGTTATTAGTTTCTGATGATTTGATGAAAGTATAATAATATTTTTCACGAGTTTATGAGACCATTCTCATATGGTGTTATTTCTTCTTGAGCAAAAAATGGAAAAAGAGAGATGGTGATGGGGGATCTCATTACATATTCTTAACATGCACGCTAAATGTTCGTGTAAATGCTTCTATGAAACTATTGTAACGCCCGCAGATCCGGGCTAGTCAATTTAGAGGCAATAGGGGTCAAAAATGACTTTTCGACAAAAGATTATTTAGAATGAATAGTCGTAACCAAGTTTTAGAATGTGTCACAAGGTTTCCGTACATATAAAGAACGCCGAAATCCGAGTTATAACGAAGAAGTTATGGCCCGCCGAAGTTTTACGGCAAAACCGGCACGGCACCGGAAGACGTAAATAGTGAATTTACGATAGAAGACTTTTTAGCCTTAGCAATCTAAACAAAAGTCGTAGAATATGTTAAACTAAGAGCGTCGATAAAAAGAACGCCCAAATCTGACTTCGTATGAGGAAGTTATGATTTTTCTAAGATTCGGCTTAGCAGTGTACAGCCCGAAACTCGAATTTTAGTCCCGAGCGGTTTTTGGCTTATGTGAAATAAATAAGAGTTGAAGATCTCATTAATAGGAACTCAACGGTAAAAAGACAGATGAAAACGGAGTCCGTATGAAGAAAGTTACGAATTCTTCGCGGTCATTTAACAGTCTAAACGCCTCGTACTGTTAAATTTAAGATCGGTCGAGAATTAGCCGACGGAGTCAAAATGAAAGTTGTAGATATTATTTTTACCTACGCGTGAATATAAAGAACGTCAAAAACGGAGGTCGTATGTGAAAGTTACGGATTTTAGAAGTCGGAAGTGTGTTGTGCGAAAATGGGTGATGTGGCACAATCTTGGCCATTGCTTTCTCCCCAAGTCTTGCCACTAGATGGTGACATGTGGCACCAAGTTCAGCCATTTTCACCCTATAAATACCACCTCTCCCACCCTCATTTTCTTCACACCTTTCCCATTCTTTCTTCTCTTTACTCTCTCTCTAGAACCTCTCTCTAGCCCCGAAATCCCCCGAAAAGCCTAGGGAACCTCCCTAGCACGAGGCGGAAGCCCCGGAGTGCTCGACGGCTCCGAGAAGAAGAGCTTTTCGGCTCAGAAACGCTGCTCCAAGCAAAGCCTGGTTTTCTATAAAACCCGCTGTAAGTGAGCTACGCCTACGCTATTTTTAATATAGTTTTTATTTAATTATATTAACGTTATTAAGAACATATAATAAATACTTGGGCTATTATTATGGGTTATATAAGTATTTTTTTAACGCTTATATAATAGTAATAATAGCTAGACTATTAATTAGTCTCGGCGAATAATAGACTAAAATCTATTGGTGATAATACTAGGTTTCGTCGAAGGAAATTATTTTAAAGTAAACGAAGCGCTGTCCGAGTACCGAGTCACCACCTTCTCAGGTGAGTGCATAGTCCCTTTCATGAACATGATTTTAATACAAGTATTGATTGAAGTATTAATTATATGTTTATGTGCGAGTTAATTGATGTTGCTTGAAATTCGTGTTAAAGAACATACCTGATTATATTTGATAATTTAGGATAAAGAGTAGACCTAAATTAAATATGAGGAATATTGGGTAGTATATTCTTACGAGTACAAGTGAGTTAAACTCAGAGAATAGAAGTTAGTATATGTCACTTATCCGGGAGTATGGATTAGACATAGTCATTGTCCCTAGTCCGAGAATATGGATTAGGCATAATCATTCGTCGTTAATCCGAGAGTATGGATTAGCTATTGTCCCTAGTCCGAGAGTATGGATTAGGCATAATCATTCATCTTTAATCCGAGAGTATGGATTAGTCATTCGTCCCTAGTCCGAGAGTATGGATTTGGTAAATTCGTTCATTTCTGATCCGAGAGTATGGAGTAGGTAAAACGACTAATCTTAGGTCCGAGAGTATGGATAGCCTCGTTGCGAGGATCGACGGGGTGGGATAAGAGTTGTTTATATATATGTATGGTGAAATTGTATATTTTGTGAATTTTAAACTATATATATGGTATAACATTGTGGGATTGAAATCCCTATGTGCTCACCAGGTTTCCCAACCTGACCCACTCAGTTTATTTATATCACAGGTGTTGATATGAAGTGACATTACACTGAGAGATTTAAAGAGATGTAGACCACTAGTGTGAATAATTGTAAGTTCTGTTTATGCTTATGTTCCTGTATTAACGATGACATCCCAAACGTTTTAAAATGAAATAAATACGTTTCTTCGAAAATGTTTTAATAACGTATTTACCATGTTTTTCTGGGAACAAATTCCGCAACCTTTTTATAAAATGAAGTACTCTGATTTTTATAAAGCATAAACAAAATCGGTCTTTTCTGGCCGTGATTTTGGGGATGTCACAGTTGGTATCAGAGCATTAGTTTAAGCGAACTAGGAATATGGATTTATTTCTAGACTTAAACTTAGAATGCTAAGCGATGATTGTGAGGTGTGAGCACTAGCTTATTTTAGGAATTATGCCTAAAATGCTTTTATGTGCTAAATACTTGTGCCTGATATGCTGTTAGTTGTTCGGATCTATGGTCTGTTGCCGACCGGATCTGGAAACCTTATGTGTTTAGGATTCTAAACGTACGACTACGATATTAGAACTAGCATATAAACGTTTCGGAGTGATAAGGATGATTTAACCGTCAATCCTAAGTAAAGATCTAGATTCACCTTATTCGGTGTATAGATCAAGATGGCAAGAACCCGTAGCGGAAACGTGAATGCAAATGGGAACAGAAACCAACCCCCAGTGATTGAGCAAATACCGGTGATGGAAGCCGCCGCTGAGCCAGTCACAATGGCCGGAGTGCAAGCGATGATCCAAGCGATGTTGGATCGTCAAATGGAGGAAACTAGACGTTTGCTCCAGCAAAATCGTGAGGAAGCCACTATTCAGATCGAACAGCCCGAGTTGAACGAAGGGCAGACTGAGGAAGGAAACTACAGTGGGACTGTTGGTCAAGTCAACCCACCAATAGTTCGACAAAACAACCAAGATGACGAGGTCGAGAGGAATGGATGCAAGTACAAGGATTTTCTGACTTGCAAGCCATCGACTTTCACTGGAAAGGAGGATCCGATCGGGGTCATGGATTGGATCTCGGAGATGGAGTTAGCCTTCATGACATGCGGTTGTAGAGGGAAGCTACAGACCACATTTGCAGTGCGTCAGTTTCGAGGAGGCGCTGTACGTTGGTGGAATACCTTGGGGAAGACTCTGAGCCCTAATGAGCCTCTGCAACTGACATGGGCAGAATTTCTGGTGCAATTCAAACGAAAGTACTGCTCAGCTCAAAACCTGCTTGAGCTAGAGAACCAGTTTCTAACCCTGAAGAAGGGAAGCATGTCAATCGATGAATACACCAACAACTTCACAGAGAAGATGGAGTTCGCCTTGCGTCTTGTTCCGGATGAGCTGACGAAAATCGACAAGTACGCAAAAGGACTTCCATGGGAGTACGCGGTGCCAGTGCGTCAAGCACCTACTCTAGAGGCAGCTATCTGGGCTGCCAAGTCTGTCGAAGATATGATCAAGGGAAGAGCCTCCAGCAAGATGGAGGTTGGCGAGAAGAGAAAGTTTGAAGGATCTTCAAGGTCCAGCGAGAAGAGAAAATTCTCGAAGTTTGAAGAAGGAACGCAATGGTGTGACAAGTGTAGAAAGAAGCACATCGGGAAATGCTCTAAATATACGACATGCTTTAAATGCGGGAAGACTGGTCATTACGCCAGCGAATGCACAACCAAGAGAGAAGTCTGCTTTAAGTGTGGAGAAGAAGGACACT